TCTGGCAGGAAATGTTTGTGCCTGTGATGCTCTATGGAAGTAAAAGCTGGACTGTGAAGAAGCAGGGTAGAAATAATATTGATACTTTTGAATTTTGGTGTTGGAGAAAACATAGATAGTTAAGAAAAGAAAGAAATGGATCATAGAACAAATCCACCCAGAGGTCTCACTCGAAGCAGAAATGACCAGGCTCAATTTATTATTTTTGGGGCACATTATGCAAAGACTGAGCTCTCATGAGAAGTCTGTAATGCTGGTAAAGGTGAAAGGAAAAAGAAAACGAACAGCAAGGTGGATTGATTCAGCAAAAAGTGCAGTGTTGGAAGTCCTGAAAGGCCAGGTTGGAGATGACTGTCCTGGAGAAGGTCTATCTATGTGATCACAAAGAGTCGACACCAACTGGATGCCACATGATCCACCAATCAATCATAGTATATAGAAAATGTAAGCATTAATTATAAATAACATTTTAAGTTTGGAACAACCTGGTATAAACTAAATATTTTTCAATTCTTTGATCAATTCTGTTAAAGAATTTCACTAGTATTCAGATTGTTAGGAAACAGTTCACAAATATTTATGCCATAAATTGTGATCTGCACACTTCTATCATAAGACTTCAAATGTATTATTTTGGAAAAAATAGAACCAATTTTAGTGACAATTTAATATACTTTATTTTTTAAACTGTCACAAAGAGCAGTCTGTTCTAAATGGCAAGATACATGCATAGTACTATCAATTATAGATGTATTTCTATGGCATATTCCCCTGCAATAAAGTGTTTTATGCAGAAAATAGACCATAAAATTTGCTATCTCTGTAAGAAAAGTAGACCATCTGAAATGCTTAAAAGTCTGAGAATGGTTTTCAGTAAAACAATCAGGCATTTAATATCTCAAACTGAATCTGGCATGTTTCATGTGCTTCATTTGATGTATCTGAAACTTGGATGTCATCTGCACACTAGACAGAGCCAGATAAATATAAATCCATAGTGTGTGTGTGCTTGTATGTGTGTATTTGGAATGTAAATATGTGGCATCTAGTAATGTCAGAAGAGACAACTGTGTTATTCTAGTTTGCAATTAATTTACAGTATTGTTTTTAAAAAAACAGATTTAGGCAAAACGATGAATCTTTTTAAACATAACTTATTCTACAGATCATCTACATCATGGTTGGAGGCCAATTCTCTTTGCTTTGCTGTATTATCTAGCCACATGACAAAACAATGAGATGATCGTTCCAGCATTACTGGAACAGTCAATAAGTGATCACAACACTCTTGCACATAAGGGTGCTGCAAAGAGCCCTGAGTCTTAAAGGAAAGAATCATGGACAGAAATTCATGGTTTTGCTGCAAGTAAATAAATGTTTCCCACCCCTTATGACATGCAGCTATTTTTATATTTTACCGGAAAAATCCATTTGAAATATGACTCTTTTCCAAACAGATTTCCTATGCAATATTTCAGTTCTACTAAAAAGACTAAAGAAAACCAATGTTGTTGAATTCTTCCTGCTAATGGGGCCCCTAAACGTTTTGACAATTTCCCCCTTTAAAATTTATGCTCAAGCCTTTAGCTCACACAGGTTTGTTCTTCAGTACTTCCACTGAAGAGATCCCCAAGGCTACTACACTGTACACTACTTGAGCAGAAGTTCTTATTTGTCTTTACATGTGGATGATTGTCTTTTTCCTTTGACCTTTCTCAGGAGAAGCTTGCAATCAATCCATATGTATAACCCCACCACTTGGGAGGGCATCATATTCAACTCCTGATATAAAGAGGGGCACAGCAGATTAACCATACCTTTTAATTGGAATTTGCAATAGCAATATCATTACCATCTTTTTCACAAAAATCCTGAAAATACAGAGAAGTCTACAGTGACCCAGATTATCTTGCACTATTCTGTTACCAGTTTGTACTTTTACCAGAAACTCAGTATAAGTAATACAAGAGAGGTTTGTAACATTCTCTAAAAGCTGGCCTTTAATTTTCTTGTCCTTGCAACAAATAATTGCAGCAAAAGCTAGTCTCTGTATAATACTTACTGAAGTACAGTATGTATGGAGAAAGACCTAAACTGGTAGCAATGTCAATGCTATTCCCTCACCAATCAAAACAGCTCATAAGAATCAATTTGAGCAAAGCTCTTTCCTAATCTGGGAATAAATAAGCAGTATATATCACAACATAAAATATTAAAGAATCATCAAGAGGCAGCAAGTTAATTCTGAAACAAATGCATGCCCTCAATTACTTTTTGGAATGATTATCAAACTATAATCCTGAAAAACAGTATGAAAGGAGCCTGCTCACATAATACTTGAACACTTATATTATTTATATTTATAAATAATATAACAAAAAATCCCCAAAATGTGTCCATTCACAAGATCCTCTTTTTTAAAAAATCATTATTGGCACACCATTATATCAGATTGGCCTGAATATATAGTAGCATCAATTCCTTAGATCACTGACAGGTAGAGATCTTTGCAGCCCCTGGAAAGCAAAGCTTTTCTCCCTTTCTGCCACAATGAGTTTCTCTACCAAAATATCCATTATTATCCATCCAAGGCTGACTTCCTTCCCACTAGGAGTCAGACTGATACTAAAGTAGAAAATGCAGGATTCACCTAATGAACATATGGTTATGTCATCAGATATTGATTGGCCAGTTTGAATTTCCCTCTTTGGTAATCACTGTTTTAATTGAAATATGTGTTTGTTTTGTGGATTCTTTTTTATACCTTTCTATGATCTTGCTCTGCTGAAACCCTACAGGCCTCCCTGTTCTGGGAAAAATATTCTTAGGAATGCAAATGATGAATGATGCCTAATTTTATGCTGCATTTTATTTTAAGAGAAACTGACTATTTAAATTAAATTACTTTTTGCTGGTGTTTTAATAACCATATCCAACTGGAAATGGAGCTGATTTATTTCTTTTGCCTTGAACTTGGTTTTATTTACTGTGTTGGGTATACTCTCTCATCTAATTTCCATGGAGATTAAAAGAACTCCTGGAAAATCGAGCTTGCCCTTCTCCATATGCATAAGAGATGGCAGTGACTATTCTCAAACAGCTCTCACTCATACAGAAATGATTAAAAGACAGCACCCACCAAATTCCTAAAGGTCACCTCTGAAACCCAAATTAAAAAAACAAAACTTTTTTTTAAGTTGCCAAAATCTTCTAAGATTTTGGAATTCTGTGCAGGATTTTGCCCAAACCTCAGCATTGTGGAAAGGGGTTGCCTATGTCCTGAAAAGTATATTGTTGGCTGATATAAAAGCCACCATATAGAGACTTCAATTTAGGACTTGACCTTGGTTCAATTAATCATGCTTAGACTCTATTCAGTTTCACTTTCTTCTTTCATTTTCATAGACTCAGCTGAAGTAAAACAAAATAGTAATGCTTATAGTATTGGATTCACAGTACAAAGTCAAACATTTCTGTTTAATGCCGATGCTCTGTTAGTAATCACTAGAGTTTTCTATACTAGTTACTGCTTAGGAATCAAAGGCTGGATACAGTAAACCTGAAGAAACCTGGTATAAAATAGTATTCAGAAGCAGCATCTCTCAGGCATATCTCTCTTCTATGTAAACATAATTGTAAAACTACATCTACCTAAAATTAAGGCCCCTTTCCTGTCTACACTTTATAGAACATTTAACTTTAAAGTTACTATTCTGAAATTACAATAAAAACTTTCATCAGGATACTCACTGGAGTCAAAACTGTAGTAGTAAGCTAAATTATATAGCCAGACACTTTATACTGCAAAAATTAAAACAGGTTCAAATGTTTTTCCTATCAATATTCTACAAAAACGATCTCTGATATTAGCCTTACCCTAATCTCTGCTAACTGAACTCATAAATTTGCTTCCAGTAATAAAATTCTATGTGTTTTCCTAACATAGGGTAGACAAACGCATTGGGCATATTCATAATTTTGAGAGCATATTATGGCAGTTTCACATTTGATCTTTTAAAAATAAGAAATCTTTTAAAAAATCAGATGGGATAGAAAGCCTATGGGTATCCAGGGAGGTATTTATGGCCATAATAGTACCACTGTGCCAAACCCGTTTTAAAATGACTGCAAGGATTTCATTTTAAAATGTGGCCTTTGATTCTGGGACAGGGGCATGGGGCCCTTTAGAAATACCATATGCTGGACACTGAAAAGGTGAATTGGAAGACTTGCAGCCATTATACTCATTCTTCATTTCCCAGTTTAAGGTGCTCAAAAAAGGCAACTGTTAATAATATCTCCATTTCTAAATCACTGGCCTAAATTTAGCCCAATGTAAACAAGGGTATTTATCTTAAATTAACTAGGTAGAAATAGTTCAGCAGTTTTTGACTAATAGATTGCAGACTTTTTATATATAGTGTTGATTTGTCCTGAAAAAAAAATAGCGTGAAGCTAATTTGAAGATTGTGTTGTAGCATAATAGAAGAAATCAAAGGCAGAAGGAATGGGTAAGAAGGGAGCAATAGGAACCATAGGGCCTATTATATAAAAGAAGTATTTTATAAATCAGCAAATGTGCCTTATAATGAGAATTCCTGAGCCACTGTCTGACAAAACAAAGCAACTGTTATGATTTTTAGAGCTCCATATCATGAGTGGTCAATTTAGGAAAACAACCAATGATCTCTTACACACAATTCAACATTTACCATATACCTATCAACAAACAGCTTCTTAATACCACTGACCAGAGAAAGTTCAAAAAGAGACAATTCTATAATTGTTGAAAGTACCTAAAAATGAAAAAAAAAATAATCCTCTAGCTGGGATAATTTGTAAGATGCTCTGTAGTAATGAAAGAAGAGGCTAAGATTGAAGGGAAAGGTATTTAAATGATCTGCTTCTCTGAAGAATGCTGACCATAATGAAATTAATAAAGATGAGAATCAGCAATCCACAGCAGTGTTTCTCAACTTTGGCAACTTCAAGATGTGTGGACTTTGACTCCTGGGGGATTCTGGGAGTCGAAGTCCACACATCTTGAAGTTGCCACGGTTGAAAAACCCTAATATACAGTATTAACCAAGGAGACTGTAACGCCTGTGCAAAATAAACTATTAAATCTATCTTAACTTATAATTTTCAGCCTATTTAAAGTAAGCCCTATACATTTTCAAAGGCATTTACTTCCAAGAAAGTTCCACTGAAACCTGTGGACCTACCATCCAGTGAAATGTATTCAGGATCAAGTCTTTTGAGGTGAATATGAAACAAAGCAAAAACAAAACAAAACCCCTATGTATTACAGACATGCTCAGTCCTGCACTTACTGCTTTCTCTATCTGAAAAAAACAAGAGAGAAAAGTATTTGTTTTGCATGGCTTGCACCAGCGACATCGGTATCCAGGAAAACATCATTTCATAATTTAGGAGGTTCTTCATTTTAAATGATCATCAGCTGCTTTACCCTATGCAGAAAATCTAATATTTCATACTTGAAACATCCCTACAAAGTTTTGCGTCATTATGTGTAATTTTTAATTCTTTTTTCTGGAATGTGGAGAGCTTAAAGAGGCAGTCTGAAAACTTGCTGCCACAGAAGCATTAAATGTTGCCCAAGTTGATAAGGTCCCTTATGGAGGTGTAAAATAGTAAAATAGCAGTTTTGCACTCAGACCATTTCATATGAAGATATTTAGTAGCTTCATTCTGTGCAACTTACTGCCAAATTGCACTAATTCCTCTAAAAAAAATCTAGTAGAAATTGCTACAGAATGACTGCCATATACTTTCAGATCTATACAAGAAAGTTCCTTCATATTTTTAAAAACATGCTGCAAATGTTAATGTCTTAACATACAAAAACACTAGGCTTGTGCAAAGTGTCCTATGTGTAGAAGAGACCCAGAGTGAAGGAGAAAGAAGGGAAGGTATCTTCTAAATTCCAGTAACAATTAGAAATTGTATTATCAGCAGCCACACCCCCACCCTTCTACTACATCCTTGCTGTCAAGTTTGATGCTGTCTGTGTTTTGCTCACTGAACATAGGGCCTCCATGTCTCATCATTAGCTCTGTTGCCATCTTCACAAAAGCTTCCTCCACGTTGCTGGAGTCCTTTGCAGAAGTTTCTATGGCACAGATGATATCATAGCGTTCGGCCAGATTCTGAGCCTCCTCTAGTTGAACCTCCCGAAGGTCACTTAGGTCAGACTTGTTTCCTAGTAGGAGAAAGTGGAATTGTTAATAAGATTAATTTTTAAAATGTCATTCTGGAGGTTAGGGAAAATGTTCAATTGGGGAGATCTAGGGGAAAAGACAACAACAGGGATAGATAAAACTGTTTGAAGAGCTGCAGAACCCCAAAAGTGATGCAACTAACCAACCTAGAGATGAGATACCACTGTTACCATGGAGATGAGAAAAAAAAAGATAACAGTGGAAGCTGACAAAGTATCTGTGGAGGAAGGATAAAGAAATCTGAGCCACTGGAAAATATAACATACTTCTTCTGGATACTGGATTTATAATACTATCCCACCTTAATGTTGACAGAGCATGCATTTCAACATAATAATCCAGTCTCATGAAATGAGTTTTGTACCCCTTCCAGCCTAGACATTCCTCTATTAACAGGATTACATTACTTATTTTGTATTTAATTATCACCTGAACTAATGACAATGAATCTCTGCATTACATTTGTTCACTTTCTGCCAGTCATTACACTAAAAATCTGCACAGAAGGGACACAAATACCTAACAGATGAAACAGTTCAAACTTTATTTAATGTACCTGATATGGGCTGTAGACTGGCTAAGAGCCAAGAGCATTTCATTCTAAATAATCTGAGTTTAAATATCATGCATGCTATTCAACATCTTAATACTCTGTGGAAAAGTTACAGCATGGTATAAACTTGGACCAGGCAGATATGAAGGCACAGTCTCATAATCTGAACTGACTTGTTCACTTTTCAAATACTAAAAAACACACGTTAAATAAGGATTTTTAAAGCATGGAATACTGAGACAACCATAAAAGGCTGAAGAAGATAAAGTGAACCGTAGCAGAGATTGAAAGCAAAAACTTCCCTGCTTCACCACTGACTAGGCAGTAATTAAATTCACTCTAAAATGAGAAATATTTTTATTTCTGGAAATAAAGAAATGCCTTTGCATAAGTTGCTATTGTTTGATTATGCATAGGCATAATTCTTTTTATTTCTGGCTTACCAAGTAAATTTTTCCACACTTACCGATTAGCAACTGTACTATGTTGGAGCCTGCATACTTCCTCACATCCTCGATCCAGCGAGGAATGGACTGGAAAGAGCCTCTCTTGCTAATGTCATAGGCTAGAATAGCTCCATTGGCGCTTCGGTAGTAACTCTGGGTTATGGTCCGAAACCTTTCTTGACCAGCTGTGTCCCAGATCTGTAACTAAAGGAAATAAAAAAGAAGCAAGCCTGTCAGTTCTTCATTCACAAGTTGCTGGTTGTACTTATCAGGTGACCTTTTCTTATGCATATTGATTGAAGGAGTGTAAAATAGCTATGCTTTGAATTTAGGTATCTAACAGAGCACAAAATCATTCCACACCCAATTGAATTGCAACACATTATCACTAGTTGCCACAGCCAAGCATGGTCAATGCATCTGGCCAGGGAGAGGGCAGCAGCAAGTTCAAGAGGGCAATGGTGAATAAGCAGCCATGGCTTTGACATTACTGGTTACCACAGTGGCTGGAAGAAGTTGGTGTGGGAAATATAACTCTGATGGACAGTGACATAATTGGCTGTACAGAAAGCTGACCTCTGACACACAAGTGCCCATCTTTTACTATTTATTTTATAAGAATACAGTTACAGATAGTAGGGCTGTGCAGGGCTTCAGATAGGAGTATGTGAGAATACTTGCATAGCATCTGCCTGCAACTCCTTCAAGCGGTTGTATCTTTTTTTAGGATTACAGAGCTGCTCTCTACAACAGAGCTGCAGTACAATTATGATGCCAGGAAGACACATTTGGTTTAGGAGTTGGCAATATTATGTGTGTACCCCACAAGCTCCGAAACACTCTTTTGCCTTCAAATCCAAAGCACTGCACAGCCCTGATAGATACCTAATCTCAAGCCATGAATAAACTAAGGTATCACTTAAACAAAAGTATCGCATTAGATTTTTGTATGGTCTACTTTAGGACTGGCATTAGGAAATCCTGCCTGTGTTTGTATGAACTGAGTGAAATATTTTGAAAATGCAGATAGTGTTGAAATAGAATAGGAATCAAGGTTAACAGCAGAAATAAGATCTTCACTGCTAGTGATACTGGATTTGTTTTTGGTTTATTTGCATTTTATTGTATTATTATTATTTGTACTGTATTATGATCTTACCTATCTAGATCCTCTGGAATGAATGGTTTATAAACATTATAAAACAATAAATAAATTTGAACAGTACAAACTGGTAACTAGCTACATTTAAGGTCTTGCTTGACTTTCCTACTAACAATGACCCATATAATTATGAATAATGAGCACAGGTAGTCCTCATTTAGGACCACAATTGGGACCAGCAACTCTGTCTCTAAGTGATACGGTCATTAAGTGAACCTTCACATGACCGCACCTGACTTACATCAGTTCTGCTGCGGTCATTAAGCAAATCACCATGGGTCATTAAATACAATATCACGTGACTGCGACTTGCAACTTCCTGCTGGCTTCCCTATTGACTTTGTTTGTTGGAAGGTGTCTGTTAAAGTTGCAAATAGTGATCAAATTACTGCAGGATGCTGTGACAGCTGCAAGTTTGAGGGCCAGTTGTAAACCTACTTTTTCAGCATTTCTGTAACTTCAAACAGTCGCTGAATGAGGCAGTTGATAAGTGAGGACTACCTATATATAGATATGTCTTCCTGCTATCTTCAAGGAAAAATTTTTAATCAAGATTTTCCCACTCAAATCACAATATATTATTGAGACAAAAATGAAGTTCTATCCTCTAGCTAGTAAGCTATGCTAACTTTTGAAAAACTTTAAGAATCCAGCTTGTTCCAAACTTAGAAGCAAACATGCGGACAGCTCTTTCTGTACTCATAAATTTCAAAATAGTGAAATAAAATATAACTGTTTTATTTAGTAGTTTTCATTAAAAAAAAATCACATTGCAAACTTGTATTACAGGTAGCCCCTGGGTTAAAAACACCTGGTTTAAGGATGACCCATAGTTAAGAACAGAGCCTAATGTAGCAAAATTCAAGTTAAATACACAATGATTTGAGTTACAGATAGTCCTCAACTTACAACCACAACTGGGACCAGAATTTCCATCGCGAAGTGATATGGAGTTACACCTGATTTTACAGTCTTTTTCACCCTGGACATTAAGTGAATCATGCGAAGTGAAGTTAAGTGAATTTGTTAAGCAGTCACGTGATCAAAATTTGGGCACTCGGCAACTGGCATGTATTCATGATGGTTGCAGCGTCCCGGGTCACATGACCCCAGGACATTGCAACCATTGTAAATACACGCCGGTTGCCAAGTGCCTGAACTTTGATCACGTGACTGCAGGGACACCGCGATGGTCATAAGTGCAAGAACCAGTCATAAGTCACTTTTTTCAGTGCCATCGTAACTTTGAATTAACAAATGGTTGCAAGTTGAGGACCATCTGTAATTACACATACAGTATTATACAATAATACTGTTCTGGCTTACATACAAATTCAACTTAAGGACAGACCTTGGGAACTGAACTCGTTCTTAAGCTGGGGACTGCCTGTACTTACATGTGAAATCAGGTGCACATACCATATTGGAAATTATGTACCTTTGAAACATTACAGTCTCGTTCTATGATTTCTTTTTCTTAATATGCTGTGCAAGATAATCTTTAAATCTGGACAAAGTCTATTCTTATGCTGCAACAGTAAATATGAAAAGATTAATTAGTTCAATCTTCTTGCTAACTATCCTAGTATCATAATGCCTATTTAACTTAGCTAAAGGCAAATACACAATGTAGAACAAACAATGCAAGTTTGTAGAATGGAATTTTCTCTCTTGATATATAGCATTAGTAAAAGAGATTCTGTCAAATTTGTGTGCAAATGTTGATATATGAGTTTTGTGGCTGAATGCAAATCATTTTGCTTTGAAACCAATTCTCAAAAACAGCATTAAAATTGCTGCAGTTCAAGAGGCACTGATGTACTTTCCATACAGGGGGGCAGTCTGATTTACTTTCTTCTTAGAAGCTGCTTCAATAGAAGTCACAAACTACTCTCACTACTGCATTAAGCTCCTAAACCAAAAATTTCAAGAGCAGTTTAGAGATTTTTCTGGAGGGGCCCTTCCCACATTTCCTTAGCTTCCTGACAAAAAACCAAGATAACTGGCAAGATCCAAATAAAGATGTTTATATCAAGTAACAATGAACAGGGCCAAGGTATTTCCAAGTCTGTATATAGGTAGACCTTGCTTAACGACTGCCCTGTCTAGCAACCATTTGAAGTTAGGAAGGTGTTGAAAAAGTAACTTTATGACCAGTCTTCACATTTATGACCATCACAGCGTCCCTGCAGTTGACAGGGACATCTGGGCACTTGACTGACATTTGGGCACTTCGCAACTGGCAGGTATATGACCATCACAGCATCCCATGTCACACGATCGCCATTTGCATGCTTCACAATTGTGAAGGCAGAGTCAATGGAGAAGCCAGCAGTAAAATTGGAAGTCGCGGTCACATGTCTCACTTAATGACCCATGGTGACTCACTCAACAACTGAATGGGAAGTGATGTAAGTCCGTTGTGGACATGTAATGTTTTGTTTAGCAATGGAATTGCTGGTCCCAATTGTGGCCACTAAGTGAGGACTACCTGTAATCCCCTCTTGCTTTGCTTCTAGCCAATTCATAATCATCAACATCTGAACCTGCTGGGATGTTCTGGGCATACCCTCTGGGCATAAACTCTGAGCCATATTCTGAATTCTAGTTTATGTAGAATTCATAAAAACTGGAACTGGATAAGAGATGTGAGCAAGGACTAGAGACTAAGCTTATCAAGAGAAGACTGAGGGGGAAATAACACTTTTCAAGTACCTGAAAGAATGTCACACAGATGTAGACCAAGATCTGCTTTCTATCATTCCAAAGGGTAGTACAAAGAATAATGATTTTACATAAAAGCAGATTCTGGTTGAATACTAGAAAAAAAATCCTACTGGAAATAGCAGTTCAAAAAGCAGATTTCCAAAAGATGGTGAACTTTCCTTTAAAATATGTATTCAAGCAGAAACTGGACCAGCACATATCACAGATATTTCAATTTGGATTCCTGTGCAGAGTAGAGATTGGATTCAATGGCTTAAGTGGCCCTTTTCAACTCTGATTCTTTAATTATATTGGTATTAAATGAGTATATTTAATGGCTACTTTCTTTTAAATATATGTTTAACATCTGTTAAACAACATTGGGACTGGAATCAAAGAGAATTAAGCAACTGCCATATGGATATAAATAAATTTTAACCTGCAGTTTAGCAATAACTAATTGTGACGTATTACACATACTGTCTTTGGAAAATTTCTTTGTTACTTTCAAAAACAAGGTCTGGAAAAGCATTTTATTTACTTTCCCAGTACTTTGAACAGGTTTATAACCCTCTTTGGTACGCTGTGTCAGATAATAAAGCAGTTGCACAACGTGTCTGTTAAAGTCAACTAAAATCCTAAATCTATTCAGCACAATCTAAATCACTTTTCCAGATCTACAAAATCCTATTGTGACCTCTAAGTTCCTTCCCATTCATGTTATATATAATAAAACACGTTTATAGTACTGAGTGCAAATGCTAATACTTTCCTGAAGCGTGGGCATTTTTATGAAATCTACCCTTAACAGCGAAGGGGGAAGCTCTAGATGTCTATAACACATACACGCGCGCGGCGCACACATACACACACACCTATGTATGTATTGAGAATAAATATATATTTTAAAAAATAATAATTTCAAATTAACCTGGTTTAAAGCATTACAAAAAACCATGTCCACCCCCAGTTAATTTTACAGTGCTCTACAGAGCTGAAATCATATTTAAACCAGATTGCCCATCTTTTCTTTGGCACACAAACATGACATTCACATGAGTTATGGACCATGACATGACAAAACTACTCACACAAGGGTTACAGCCTAATTTCTACACAACACCAACTGAATCTTAAACAGTTCAGTGGACCCATCTCCTAAATAAGTAAGTAAAGGACTTTGCCTCAAAGTTTCTTGTAAGCTTTTATACTTAATATGTACTACTCATCAGATAAGTGAGGTGGACTCTTATCATACAGACTCCAAACCAAGTTCATGAGCTACATACCAATATACCCCAGTACAAGAGAATTCTTAATGTCATATTATTTTCAAACATTACATACAACCTTCTGTGGGGATTTTTATTTTAACAGGCCTGAAATATCACAACTGAGGTTCTCGGAGATGCTCAGAGGCTTTTTCAAACACTGATAAGCACCTCCAGAAAGGCAAAGAATATTCCTTTAGGCATTTCCACAGGGGCTGTGCAGTATCTGAACTTGGCAAGGGGGGGTGGGAGACAAATTCTACCTTTTCTTTTAATTTTTAGAAAAGTTTTATCGAGGTAACCGAGCTGTAACCGTGTAAGCACGAACTCTTCGGCAACTCCTGGGTTGGCGATGAATTCACGGCCCCGCCACGGATGTCAGCAGATCGACTGACAGATCTTGGGCGCCCTTCAGTCTCCGGGGAAAGGGACGTTGCCATGCCAGCTTCTTCTCCCCCGACTACAGCTGTTGTTCTGTCCGCACACCTGTTACCTGCCCGGCTCGTGCCGCGAAGGGAGAAAGGAGGGGGCTGCCTCCCTCCCTCCCTCCTCCTCTCCCGCCCCGCCCACCTTGACCCGCTTGCCCTGGATCTCCAGGCTCTTCATGGTGAAGTCCACGCCGATGGTGTTGCCCTGGCGCTCAGAGAAGGCCCCGGTCTTGAAGCGCTGCACCAGGCACGTCTTGCCCACGCTGGCGTCGCCGATCAGCACCAGCTTGAAGAGGAAATCGTAGTGCTCCTCCGGGTCCGGCCCGGGCGGCGCCGACGGGGAGCCGGGCATGACCGCGGCGCTGCCCC